AGCTTTTGGAAAACGATTGCTCATGCAGCGTGAAAACGATCAGCAAGACCGCTGAGTACAAGATACATTGGTTGAAACTATCGTTCAGCGCCTGAACTTCGCTTAGACTTTGGACTGACTTAAACCCAAGCCCAAATCTAAACTTAAGCACCACTTAGAAGCTCATCGAACTCTGTTTCCGGGGCTAGCGCGAAGCAGATTGCCAAAATGCACAATAAGGCGTGGTTTGGATCGATAAAACAGTTGTTTTCTCACTCTTTTTACTCTTCATACGCAATCGTTCGCGCCATGCTCCAGCAAGAAAATGGCATTTTTTGGCAAAATTTATGCAAAATCGGCTCGTAAATTCAAGAATAACGCATATTTTTGATGCAAATTGCAAAGATCCCCATATTAAATTAAAAATGAAAAGTATTTTCGCTATAACTTTAAAACCCGTCGGCCGATATGGCTCAAACTTTCCATATACATGGGAAATTGGCTTCGCTACCCCTGTGCAAATTTTCAGCTCCGTAGGTGCCCTCTGGCTCAAATTTTTGGGGGGGTCTTTTTTTTTGGGACACCCTGTAGTCTCATTCCGACGCTATGCTGTTTCCCCTCTACATCTTTGTTCCTCTCGTGTCTTCTGGGAACACCTGGGATCGGTGTAGAACTAAATTTGGCAAAGATATTTTAATAAGTCCAGATCAGAATCGCCCGTTCTTCGAGGGACCATTTTTCAAATTGCCCGGTGGATTCACAACGGGAGACGAGCTTGAAATCTTCTTTTTTACCAATGCTCCGAAGTAAGCTGTTGTTCTTGCTCAGCTGGCTGCAAAAAAGCCTTAACACGGCAAAATCCTCTATAGATTTGAGCTTCGGATTGCCGAGGAGCCGTACGCGGATGGAAAATGTCCTGTCCACCTGTTGGTGACACGATACCCGTTGGTGAAAGGCCTAAAATGCGGGCTGAGCCATACGGAATGCATATGATAAATGGTAATAAACGAATTATTAACGTTCAACAAGTTATCTAGTCTCGCTATCTAATTTCTAATTGGATAATATTAATTTAGACATCCTGGGAGAAGGGTATCGTCAAACAGATTCTAAGTTTCTCTGCTGAACAGGGCTTGTCCTTGCTATGCGGGCAAAGTCTCGATTTTGTAAGTTTTTGTTGCACTATTGCGTATAAACCATTTAAATTTTAAACCTTAGACTATAAAGAAACAGAAACCGTAACCATCCACAAAAACCGTTAATTACAGCAAATGATGAACGAAGGATTCCGGGTAAAGTCTGTTCTTTTTGAAGGCTAAGTCGATTACCCCCGGCACATCGGGACCTCCTTTCGAGCACGTACTTGGTGGGAAGTAAGCTTAGAGCGGCAAGGTCGGCTTTTTAGATCACAGACGCATCGATCGTAGCTGTAAAGCACCATCAAGCATTTGCCAGGTATCCCCTCGAAAACCTTAACTTCTAAAGGGTCGTGCCGATAATCTGATGATGAGTACGTGGCTGGAACAGCGACAATGCCTCCTGAAGGATATTTGATAGGGAAAATCAAGCAGTGGGATCGTAGACAGCCTTTTTAAAAGTAATGATCATCTTGGGTTTTATTTACCTTAACTAGCAAGGGTTTATTATAATGTGCTTTTAGTAAATTTCTTCCCGAACTTTCCTCTCGCATCGAGTGATGCAATTCAACCACAACAACTAACCCGTACCCACAGACGCTGTCTTTGGGATATAACACCGCTTGACGGGGAAACGATTTCAAAATTTTGGCCACTGACATATTATTATGTTAATTAGCTTCTGGATCGGAATAACAACCATCCACACCGATGGAAAAACTGGATCAAGAATTATCGATAACTTTTGAGATTAATCTCAAGGAAAATACAGCTGGCTAGGTTTCGTCACCGGTGCAATGCCATTTTTGAGATCCTTAAATTTTGTTTAACAAAGCTCTTTGTCCCACCCTGATTTCAACCCCTCAGAGCCTTGACTATCCCTTTTATCACCAAACACTGCCTAATCTCATGAGTGTGTAATGAAAGTATGAGCTGTGGTTTAATTTGGTGCTGAAGAAGGGGTGAACCATTGGGAAATACCTAAATGCTAATTCAGAGATGGACTTCCCGAAGAATTCATCACTATGGGATATTCAAATGAGTATGCTAATTAATTCAAGCCGCTACTGATGTTTGGGAAGCGGTTCTACGAGCAGCATCGCGTCCTGCGCGAAAGCCGCCTGGTTGTCGATTAATTTTTTTTTAAACTGATAATGATTTATGTTTAGGCTCAGAGGAAATTTGGGCGCGGGGTAACGAAGGTTGGGGTCTTCCGGAAACCCCCAAGGGATGGTTACACTTTAAATCCAACTTTCTTTTTCGAAGAACTTGGAAAAGATGTTCTGGTTCACGGACAATACAGCGATACTGTACGCAGTTCTCTTCCGGGGGGGGCCCTCTTTGCCTCTCTCTCTCTCTCTCTTTCTCTCTTCTCTCCTACTCGCTCTTCCTGTCAAAATCTCCTCCTTCAAGGATCAAAGTTTCATTCCTACGTTGAAAAGTTGGATCACTATCAGGAAGGAAGATACTGACGTCCTCGCTATAAGACCGATGAAAAGACCAAGAAGACAGTGAAAATTTAGAAATTGGTCACTTGGGACTCGATGATAAAATCCTCATTAAAATTGCATAATGATCATGGATCTGAAGATGCGCCAAGGCTCCTGGTTTCAAAATTGAAAACACGATCAAATTCCCGAATAATAACAAATGCAATAAAACCGTGCTCTCATAAATTCAGGGCCTCCCGCCGGAATAGGCTTTCAAAAGGTTTCTTGAAAGCCCCATTTTTTTGAAGTTATGTTGTTTCTGCTCCAATTCGCGGCTTCTTCTGCGGCGTATGGTCTCATGAAATACAAGGGATCCGCGTAATAAAATGCAATCAGAATATCTATATATATGCAAATTTCAGATGGTGGCGTTTCGCTATTTGGCGCGGCCCGTTCCTCGAAATTCTCAAGGAGTTCACCAAAAACGGCGAACATTTGATATTTTCTTTTTACAAAGAGTCCAATGTCAGAAAGTTTTATTTATTCCCCTCGTCAGAAAAATTATTTAAACCGTCAAAAAAAATTAATCTAAAAATTGTGTCAGTCTCGAGATGAACTAGCAGAAAAACCGTACGATGGCTGTTGGATTTCGACGGCGCTGCTGATACAGATTGTGGGCGAGGGGTGCCGGGACTTTTGACGGTATTTGAATCGTAGAAAAGTGTAGTTTGCTGTAGGTTGCTCGGCTCCTGCTGGGCGTTAAAATCGCAACTTAACCAAGTTTTAATGGCCATGACTATTTACGTTGATTAATTCAGAACCACTGGCCGAAAAGCGACAACTCGAAAAATGGCACGCTTTGACTGGGACTGGGCTGTGGATGCTAAGGTGGGGAAAATTGGGCTATAGTGATCTTTTGCCGACCGCAGTAACAGAAATTATAAAGAGCATCACGGATATGCCGATAACCAACGTTTTTCTAGTTAAAAAACAGCGCCGAGCTCCTGGATCACATCTACCTTCCAGCAAAGCATATCAACTATCCGGCACATGAGGAAGAGCTCATTAAAAACCTACGTTGTGGTAAAAGTAAACCTGAAACAATATAAAATATGTCCCCCCCCCTTTTAGATAACCCATCCGGCGATCGGGGCTATAACTCATCAATCAGTGAAGGTAAAAAATGCTTTGGTTTAAGAGTCTTATAAAGGAAATTAAAATTACCGCCTTATCTTTGATATGTGCATAAACTTACATTAGCAAGTACTACAACATGCCACCACGATCACCAAAAGTAACATTATTACCATAAAATTAATGTACCAAATTCATAATGAATCACGAGTCTTCGATGATGACGCGCGGAAAGGATACCCCAAACCCATCCGGACTACTGGCATGATCGAGAAGATTCGCAAATGGGGCCAAGGACGTGCTTTCTGGAAGTAACTCCGGATGCCTATAACCTAATAATGAACAATATAATTGTCTTTAAAGTACCACTCATTTAGTGCACCTGGTCCCGCACATTTCCCACCTGGATGGGATGGATACTTCAACCTCAAGGTGATGGCGATCATGGGCCTGTTGAGAACAAGACCATCTGAGATCTGCCTATGGGATGTCACACCTCTGGATGGAAAAAGATAAGTTTTTGCGGGAAATTAGAAGCAACTCTCCTTTTTTGTTTCCGGATCACGAACAACGGCTACCCGTTCGATCAGAGTCTGGATCGAGACCTGTGTTTACCTTCGAGTTTGACACAACGTCAAGCAACAGACGCAATATGGGGATTCCGGGGAAAGGTATAGGATTTAAGCCTGATCAGTTCATGGTTGGCAATGCTGCGGATTAGCTATAATCACCGCTTTTCCACAGTTTGATCAAAGATTTAACCCTACAATTCGCCCTTAGGAATTTCGGCTCAGCCTATATTTAAGTTCGGCTTAAAAGAAGCCAGGATTTAAGCCAGAGCATGAGCTCAACCCTAAACCCAAGCTTCCCCCATCCCTCAGGCTCGCTTGGAGACTTTTATTTACCTTGACAATCAAATCGATCAATGCTTTCAGGGTACCGATCACGGGATGGTGACTGGGCGGCTGCCCAGCACGCATGAAAAGTACCCATGACTTGTGTTTCCGGATGGGAATTCGCAGGTTTAATCAATTTTGAAAAACCAGCAATCCATTTTTGAGATACGGTCAAACGGGGATCGTCTGGAAAAAGCCGATGAAGTTTTTGAGGAGGCGAGGGACTGAATAGATGCATTTTTCTTTTTCGGGGATTGAATTTGACTGTCGTGATTTTTAGGAGATTGTCCGTCACGGCAACAAGGGCCAAAAAGCCGAATGGTTGTCGGTATTTTTCTTACGCGCAACTCAACAAGCATTTTTAGTTCCAAGGTAAATTTGGGAGTGGCCAGACGAAAGCATGTGTCTCCTACCTAGTTCCCGGCATGATTTTTGTAGGAATTTAGTCAAAATGGCTAAAGCATGCGAATTTAGGGGACGAATCGAAAATGGTGGTATTCAGATGGTCTTCCGGATGAATTTCAGTAATTTATTACACTCTTACTCTCTATTAGGTCTCAACCACTGATGTCTGTAGACGGCCCATCATTATTTTTAAGGCTATTAATATTAAAGTAGCTATTCAGATATTATTAAAGTATCTTTTAAAGTAACTACACTGGTGGACATAATTTTAACGGCACCCAGATTTTTCGAAAATTCTGGATAGTGGAATTGTTTCGGGAAATGGGTTCTATTGAAGAAAGTTGCCGTATTCCATCATAATACGGCACCCCACAGCCATTTTTCCATTCCAGGCCGAGAAATTTTTTTACGAAGGCTTTCGTGAAAAACGCACTTTGGCCGGCGGCCATAATTATAACGGCACTCCCCGGAAAAAATTCTTAAAATTCGGGAATTAATAGCAATTGGCTAAAAACGATTCCAATAGCCTTTGGCTCCCCAATTTGGCTAAAACGGACGGAAGAGACCGCTCTCCAAGTCCAGATCAGGCCACTTTAGCAACTTTTAGCCTGACTTGTTCCGGTCGTCAGAAAATCGTCTACTCGAGCTCTCTACGCTCTGTTCCAGGGTTGGAACGTGTGTCCCAAGGAGCCCAAAGCATGTTTAACCATGCTCCAGTTAAATCCGCAGGCTTGTCAAGCCGGCACTTCGCTTCCCAGCCCTTAGAATGCACCCAGGGACCGCCTGGCTCGAGTAATCGAGGCTTGTTCCCGTTTGAAAAATTAATTTTCCGTTTGTCCTGCTTCCGATTCCGTCTCGCATATCGACGTACTCATTCGCTTAACTCATTACGACAAGTTGAAACAAAGCATGCTGAAAAATCGAGTCCAATTCGATCTGAGCAGCTTGACAGCGGACTTAATCAGCCATCGCTATTCTTCACGAGTTTAGAAACACTCCAGATCGGTTCGCCGACGCGTAGAAATTGTTAGAGCAATGGATGGCACGCATTCCCGTACCAGAAGACGCCAGAAGCTGCCAGAAGCCTCCTGGTTTCCCGGAAAAATTTTCATTTAGGTAGTGTCAGTGCGGGACAAGCCTTTTTCTTGACAATCCTTGTGATTTAGCCAATTCGGAAGCAAGAATGAGTTAAGCGAATGAGTACGTCGATATGCGAGACGGAATCGGAAGCAGGACAAACGGAAAATTAATTTTTCAAACGGGAACAAGCCTCGATTACTCGAGCCAGGCGGTCCCTGGGTGCATTCTAAGGGCTGGGAAGCGAAGTGCCGGCTTGACAAGCCTGCGGATTTAACTGGAGCATGGTTAAACATGCTTTGGGCTCCTTGGGACACACGTTCCAACCCTGGAACAGAGCGTAGAGAGCTCGAGTAGACGATTTTCTGACGACCGGAACAAGTCAGGCTAAAAGTTGCTTAAGTGGCCTGATCTGGACTTGGAGAGCGGTCTCTTCCGTCCGTTTTAGCCAAATTGGGGAGCCAAAGGCTATTGGAATCGTTTTTAGCCAATTGCTATTAATTCCCGAATTTTAAGAATTTTTTCCGGGGAGTGCCGTTATAATTATGGCCGCCGGCCAAAGTGCGTTTTTCACGAAAGCCTTCGTAAAAAAATTTCTCGGCCTGGAATGGAAAAATGGCTGTGGGGTGCCGTATTATGATGGAATACGGCAACTTTCTTCAATAGAACCCATTTCCCGAAACAATTCCACTATCCAGAATTTTCGAAAAATCTGGGTGCCGTTAAAATTATGTCCACCAGTGTAATTATGCCAATTTTCAGGAAGCATTGTGAAAATTTCGTGAATGAGTTGAAAGAGCCGCTGGCGTGGAGACGGCTGCGCTATTCGGTGGATGGCGAGCAGCAGCAGGATAGAAATCTCGAGATTGATATTTTGAGCCCAAAATAAATAAAAGTTTACCGAGTATACAAATCACGCAAAAAAAACTTGTGCTCGTAAAAATAAAAAGCTTACTGTAACCCCAAAAATTGGCATTTTTTACTATGCTTTCTCGATTACTTTTTGGCAAACCCACGCTATAATAAAAACAATATAGCTTTTTCTGTTATCAATATTCGCTATGCAAGGAAGACTTTATGGGGTTTTTTTGAATTTCCCACCCGGTCCCGGCATTTCTGGCCTAATGCTACCGGTGTTTTTCCTATTTTTCGGCGCCTTTCCTGGATTTTTAGAATGTGGAAATACTGTCGATCGTTGTAAGATTACTGAATCAAAATACTTACATACTAAGACTAAGAATAACGTACGACCCCTCTTTTAGGGGAAAACTTCAAACTCAACGCGGGTCCCTATTTGCATATGCGACAAAAGTTCAAGCATGGTGATAAGCTGGAAATATTTTTCTTCAGCCCCTCACAAGAGTTCGAAGATTTTAAGGCTTGATTTGCATCGTTCTAGACCTGTGGTAATGCTGAAAGAATCGCCAAAGGCCATTGAAGCTTCTGATGACCCGGTTCCGATCGCGATCCACTTGAACGCTGACCAAAAGACGATCCGTTTTGCGAGGAGGGAGGCTTGGGTACATTTGGGAATTGGTCCTAAAGGGGCGGCGACAGCAAAAATGTTCAGAGGCTGAGCTGAGAATCAAATACATACACGTTTAGGGTCAGTTCAGCGACGTGGAAACGGGATCAGCGCAAAAAGGCACCCACTACGAGCGGTACTGCAGATGCTACACCGGGGTTATCAAGATGGAGTAAGCTTTCTTAAATTTTGCAGCAGAATACAGCCTTAAAATACGAATTCTTCTTTCCTAAAGTTTGCCTTAGCTGGCGAGACAAAGAGGGCTGGTATATTACATCGGATTGGGTGGACCGAGACCCGGGGAGACCCGAACTAATGTATGAAGCTCCTCAAAAGGCGGTGATGGAGTGGTTTGTGATGATGCAAAATGATGGGATATTGGCCTATGTTCATACTACGGTAATTCTTTAAAAGCATCACGCTTAAGGTAAACCATTTTAGCGCGGCCAACGTTTCTCCCGGATGCAATCTCGCGGCGAATCGGCCCCAAATTATGCGTACCCGGACTGGTATCGCGACCATATCCATTCAAAGCAAGAACACCCCACTTTTCAAGGTATGGAATTACGATTAAAAATTGCATATATTCATGAACCTAGTGGACTACTCCCCGTGGTTTTACATTGGCAACAAGACGCTTTTTAACTATCCGGAAAAAATTCGTAACATGACGTTCGCGATTTGCGTGAAGGATGTGACGACGCGGAAGGATATGGAGTGGAGCCTTACTCAGACAATAATTGTGTTAATCAAAAAACATTTTCAGTAGTTTTTGGATTGTTAACAATGGTCCGCCCTTTAATCAACGCCAAGATCGCGAGTTCAATATTGGATTCGAGATAAATTTGCCGCAAAGAACCCTAACGATGGGTTATAGGGACAATGTAAGCGTTATACTTTATTTTATACGAATAAAATTAAATTCATACAGCTAATTTCAGCGGAATCAATATTGTTCTGGACCTAAAAAAAATAGATTTTCAGGGCATCGATTATCCACTTTTCACGAAGCGGCTAAAACCGAAGGACAAGAAAACGAAAAAGCACACCGTTTGCTTCAATTTCGGGATCAGAAAGTAGGCAAATTTCTGATTGCCAACAGTGATGTTTAAGACGGCTTGACGGTCGATTCTCATGGTTTGGGACCCACGACCTTGAAACGCACGGCCAATACATTCCCGTAAAATTTGCGCCTGCCAGGTTTTTCTCGGTACGTTTCAACACTAAAAACTACCCGGTTACGATAGGTTATCCACAGTAACAGGAAAAATTAGTTTCTAATCGATATTGCGTTTAGTTTTTATTTATTAAAGTAAGGTATCACCTTAAAAATTGATGCTTTCAGTTCCAAGGAAAATTTGATGACCTGGATAACAGCAAGGCTATGGTCGCATATTTTCGGCAGGGAACGGTAGGCCCCTCTTTACCATGTGGCTTAACTTACAGTACCCAAATCGAGCCATGGAGTGGATGGCCTATTGGTGGGACTCTGCCAAGACCAGGACAGCAATGACGTGCGTTAAAATAATCGATAGCTTTGATAATTATCGATATTTTTAGTGAATGGATCCGGGATTGGGTGGCTGATCACATGCTGCCGAGTGGATACGAACCCGCGTGGCCGCTTGAAGATTGGCGACGCAAGAAAATTGCCGTTTCTAATGAAACGCTGTGAACTAAACATTGTTATTGGATACATCATTTTGTCACCGTCGCAACTACGAGCTTTGATTACGCAACGAGAGGCTCGGGAGGCGCGGATGGATACCAGTCAGCCACAGCTACAATCTGGCGAGGGGGTGAGGGGCGCCCCACTCCGCAAAGGAGGGGAATGGCCTGCCACGGCACGGGCAGGCAGTGCGCGCGGTCCCTACGTCCATAGGGTGTACACGTTGGGACGAGTACACGGTCCCTCCCTGAACGTGCGCTTTAACGGCAAGATAGAGGCGCGTATCGTCAGCGCACGCAATCTGTTTTGCGAGGGAAAATTTTCTGAATGTGCATGAAGTGCGTGAAGCTGAACAAGTGTTGAAGCTGTATGATTTTAGCAAAAGATGGATGCAAATGAAATGAATCTTTTTCAAATTAGTTTTGGTTTAAATAATCCGCGTTGCGTGTGCCAGCGGGTCCTCCTTGTCGTCGGCCACTTTGTTGCTTGCGGGGTTTGCTTTGTTGCCTGAAATTAACATTGTAGTTGTATCATCGATTTTACGAGAATAGCTTGAGAAAATAGGCTGAAAGGGACTGTAAGATAAAGGGATAAAATTATACTGGTAGCCCGATCGTCAGCTACGCACAACTAAAAAATAATCGCCAAAGCACAATCTGACTCTCGTCCGAGTCGACTCGCAAAAAAGATTGGATATGCACCTAATTGTTGGGAGTAGTCGGTTTTCTCCCTTCCTAGTCCCTTAAATCACAATTCGATAACGCGCTCACCATCCCCCCTCGAACTCCTGGTAAAGGGGAGGAAAGCCAGAGTCGAAATAGAGTTGTCGGGAAACTGGCAGATTTGCCGGCTCCTTGATTTCCTTCTTCACCTTGGGGTAAGCGTCCACCAGAATAGACTGTAAGAATTTTTCGGTAAAATCTATTTGGCCTACGTGCAAGCGGCCGTCAGCAGCTTTTTAGATCAACCAACAGTCGCTCTAATGCGTGCCTAAAAACCTTTATATATCCATACAAAGTTCCTACTCAGCATCTCCAAGCATTTCAGAATGAGCCGCCATCGCTTTGTCGCAAATTTCCGCAGAAGCGCTCTCCTTCACCGCAGCCAGCTGTTTGTCCAATTTCTAAAACATCAACTTTGGGGGGTTAGATCTTCCGTGCCTCTTGAATTTCTTTGAACAAGTCCCGGATGCGATTGAGGTCCCTCTCGACGTTAAATTTTCCGAGCTGCTCCTTTTGTTGGGCGCCCAACGCGGTGGATCGGCAGCGGCACTAAAGCGAGCTCATGGAATTTGAAGCCGAATTTGCATACGAGAATCTCTAGCAGCTTGACTGGGGGTGCTTCGTTGCACATGAGATGGTTGTCGAGAAAGCATTCGCCGCACACTTGGAAGTTGTCCAGCTGGAAAAATAGCACGCTTGCAGCTGTGAAAATAGGCTAATGAAGCGCGTATTCCGGAAAGCAGTAGGCCAAAGCGTGAGAGTACGCCGAAGAGAGAGGTACGGAGGGAAAGAGAGCAAGAGAAAGCGAGACAGAGAGACCGGAGCGGGAAGAGAGAGTCGGAGAGACAGCGAGAGCGAAAGAGAGAGAGGAGAGAGTACGCGAGAGAGATAGAGAGAGAGCGAGTGAGAGAGAGACGTAAATAGGAAATAGATGTTAACGTATCCAGAATTCGCTAAGAAAATGTATACTTACGTGGCTCCGTAGTTGATCGAGGTCCAGGTCGAACGGCGCCTTGCCTTCGTTTTCCTCCTTGAAGTGCTTGACGCAAATCCGGAGCTTCTTTACGGGCAGCCCGATTTCTTTGCAGTCAGCGCACTGGAAAGTGGCCTCAGCCAGCCCGGGGTCCACCGTCTCACTGTACAACATTTATGCGAATCTGTTATTCCTGAAAGTTCTATTTTCATTGTGGTACTGAAATTGGCAGACATTCACGATTTAGCAGGATATCTTAAAGGAGGCGAAGAAAATAACTGGAGAAACGGACCAAAACTTCAAACTTTCCGATTGAAATTGGGAACGCGAATCAGCTCACCGCACTGTGCCTCGGCAATAATAAAAATCTGTTGCAGCAGAAAAGTTCCGCGTGACCCGCACGGCCACGGCACCCTGATAAAGCCCCCCGCTCTCCCTTTGCAAAAGTAGCCCAGTGCCGCCAATTTTCAAGCGCAACACTTCGGACCCCGATTCACATACTCGAGCTCTGCAAATGGGACTTGGAGGCCAGTGGAAGGATTACCACATTATACAGTGTTTCCCAAAAAATTCCTTAACTAAAGGTCCGCAGTCCTGCCCAATTTTTACGATTTTGCTATCTATCGAAAGCTCTCGGAAGGGCGTCTCGCCGACTTTCGAAATTCCGGAATTTCTTCGCTCGATTCTCGCCATCTTTCATGGTGGCCTGGATATGTCGTGGAATTCCTGAATTTAGATGATGAAAACAGCAGACGAGCTTCTTCTTCTTCAAATCAAATTGCACCTTCTTGACCATCATAAATATGTGGTTTCAAAGATATCAACTAATCGAATCACGTAGAAATAATACTAACTGCCCAGATGACGACATTCCGTTAATTCTTGTTTAGCCACCTGCTGGCCTACGCTTTTCAAAGTTTCCATAGCGCGTGAAGTGCACATTAATATTTTTTCAATGGAAAGTTTCTTTGTCGTTCTCTCTCTCTCTCTCACTCCCTATTTCTCTCTCTCGCTCTCTTTTCAATCAACTCTGTATTACTTTCTTTCAAACTGTTTATCTATGAATATTTTGTGTTTTTTTTAACAAAAACAAATATTTTGAGCATCACACAATACTAAGTCAAATTTTTTACGAAGATTCAAGCACAGGGTCATAAGTTCAATCGTCAAATTCTATAACAGCGTGTTCTATAGGCCATTCCTGGGCCCAATCACGGTAGTCATCCTTCCGCCTGCGCAGCCCGACCGTTCCACTTCGCAGTTTTGCGCTATGAAAAACAGCACCATGTGATTACGACAGTACCGTTGAACAGGGCCCTCGAACTAAAAATTACATTAACTTAAAATCGGTTTTCTTAAGATCGCTTTTCTATGAATGCCACAACCCTTCAGAATCTAGCGTACCCAACTGTTGCGGAGGATCTTCACCTCATCGTTTTGGGTGTTCTTCCGCAGAAGTTCGGTCAGGCAGTCTGGAAGCCGGAATTCATACTGAAAATGGATGCATCTTGTGAAGGTTCTTTTTGCAGATCCCAGAAGGGCTACTTTCGAAAGGCCGAAAATCGTCATGTCCAAATTCCATAACGCCGAAAACCACGTAACTTCGCAACTCCGACAAAATTTCAGAATGCCGAAATCTCAGGATTTTGAATAAACATGATAAGACGATTAAATTTCCCATAAAAACTTTCGAGCCTATACAAAAAAGTATACATCTTCAAAATGTCGATTTTATGAAACTTAGACATTATGATATTTCGATATGATGAGAGAAAATCTTCAAGAAATAACTTAAAAATCTTCAAAATTTAGGGTTTCTGTAGCATGAAATTAACCCCTCTGCCTTTTAATACACGTCAGCATACCTCGAGGACGGTTTGAGCTGAAAGCCCGATTTCTACTGTTCGAATGGCGCCGTCAGCGGGTCGACACTAAAAAAGGATCTTGCGACTAAACTCGGAGGACTCCTTACCGTAAGGAGAGCGGCCTTACAGAATTCGTACGCCAACGCCATCATTGTGGAAAGTGTGGAACCCGGTCTCCAATCGAGGGCGAGTTTGATATTCGGGATATGAGCGATCTGAGATAGACAGCTTATCCGTTATTGATTATGTTTTGCTTGTTGTCATTTTTAGATTTTTGACTATGATATTAGCTGAACCAGCGCCTAAAACCCGCTTCGCGGGCCTTGGGCGCTGGAATCGGTGACTTGCACATAAGGTTTGACTTTTCCATAGCGCCGGTCTTTTGGTTTCCCGGCCCCTCCGGGCCGCACGTGTGCGTGCAACTCGCAAAGATGAGAAAATGTGTATTTTTCACGTTATGCAAATTATAAAAAACAATCAAAATTATTGCCAAGCTTAAACTTTGTAAATTTGTATTATTTTTTTTTTTTTTTTTTTTTTTTAAAAAAAAAAATTATAAAAATTGGCCACCCTTTTAATTTTTGGAACCAAAAACGGAAGGGGGGGTCCTCCTTCCAAAGAGGGGGGAATTGGGCCCTTTTTCCCCGAAACCCTCCGGGATCTCTTTCTTCCTTCTTCCCCCCCCAAAAAAACCCTAATTTTTTTGGTTGGTTTTGCTCCTTTGGGCTTGGGCTTGGGTTTCCAGAGCCTCAGGCTTAGGCTTAGTTTTAAGCTCGCAAATTGTCCTTCAAAAGACTAAAGACGCAGATCCAACCTGGTTAAATAGTGGGCCGTACCGGCAAACGTCTTCCGGTATCAGTCGGCGAATCAGCATGTGAAGTCTGACCTAGACGGCTCGCTATAAAGTATGTGTCTCTACACCTTACCATATAGGGCGGTATCGACAGTAATCGCTCCTCTCGCAGCAGGTTCACGTCGGTCGCATTTACTCCTCGGTAGGTTACGCCGATCGACCAGCGCGTGACGTTCAGTTCGGCGCGGTAGGCGCGGGTGTACTGCAAAAATTAACATCGAACCTTTTTAAATTCACATTCACGTGTTTGAGAAATTTCACTAAGTCGCTGCCGTTTTGTCAGATTGTGTTATTATTCGTGCAAGCTATAAAACCTGGGTTCTGGTTCCGAAAGGGGAGTGGGCGTGGCCTCCCCTCCGTACGATCACCCCCCCCCCCGTTTCAGAACTAGATCCAGAAACGGCGCTTTTAAAAGCACTGGCACTAATTTCTTGACCCACCGTTGTATCAATGCATGAAATGAAATGGACATGGAGTGGCGGCATCAGATCTGTCAAGCGATTGAAGAAGGCGTATTGTGTAGCCGGGTCCCCACTCAGGGTTTTTTCGGCTTCATATTTGATTGGTGTTCGATTCACGTCCATACTAAAAAGAAGTAACAAAAAGTTAAGCTAAGCCGTCACGAACTCACCGAAAAAACACAACGAGGCTCATCGGGAGCTCTGGGCTCCCAAAAACCATCGAAAAGGCGTCCCGTGTGGAATCGGACAATATGTAGAGGCAACTGGCCGGCAGTCCCAAACCCTGAATTGAGAATTTTTGTGGAAATGAAACTTCATCCGACTGACCGCCGCATCCACTGGACCGTGAACAGTAACGTCTTGGAACCGTGTTTGCAGCAGAAAACGATCGGCTGGCCGTTCAGCAAAGACCTAAAGCTTTTTAAATCTAGAATCCTAAAAATATCTAGATTTGCAATATTTTAATAGATTTAAACCGGATTTTTATTGAGTTGAAGGCGAAAAGCCGTATATTTGGAAAATCGAGCCAAATTCGAGGAAAGTGATGTTTTAGAAAAGTTGCTATGGTGCAAACGGTCATTTTAACAATGCCCGTTTTGCAAAACCTTAAAAAAATATGATCTGATATTCCGGGAAAGGTATGTAGAAAGTAAATCGTCAGCCCAAAACGTTCATGAGTACCTTCGCCACCTTGCGCAACCGACATTTATCCTCCAGGCGCACGTTCAAGTAGACAGCCGACCTTTGGCGATCTGTCAGCCTCAGAAAGTTGAAGCTCTTCTTATCGACCATCGTGAAGAAAAACTGGCTGATAACTTGAGATGAGGTCAACAACAAATTTCGCCCTTTCGTCGGCCATCTGCCAGTTGACCTTGTGTTTGAGAGGTCCTGAAAGGAACTTTGAACCCACATTAATGATAGCTTTTCGTATCCTCGAGATTTTGTAGCCAAACATTATAATTAATGTTCTCATATAATCCCCTTTTTGTGCAAAAAAAAGCTCAAGACGCATAATATAGCAAGTTTTTTTTCTTTTTGATATTTTCATGGAAAAGTGCAAAGGGAACACCGAAGTTGGCAGCTGCGGATTGATATAAATTTATGGCGTATTTTCAGAATCCCATTAAAAAAATTAAATTTAAGTTTCAAATTACTATTTTGAAAAGATACTGTTTTGACCGCTTGCCCGTTGTTTTGCGCACTCAAGTTTCGGCGGGCTGGCAACGAGCCGGTTCCGTTGCTAGCGAAATTTGCGGTATAGGGCTAGCTAGCGGGGCAGAGTGGAGGCAAGTACAGATCCCGGGACGGATAAGTCTTTTTGCAAAAAAAAGGGTATTTGAAGTTATACTACAGCTGTCATCACAAGAGGATTGGAGGAAGTCAAGGCTCTAGCATTATTAAAGGGATCGGGATGGTAACACTATGTATTTTTGAAAGCCATGGTGTTATCAGGGGACGTTTCCAGGTGCTTTTCGAATTTTGCGATGACAAAAAACAGCAGACTAGCTTCTTCTTCTTCAAATCAAATTGCACCTTCTTGACGATCATAAATATGTGGTTTCAAAGATATCAACTAATGGAATCACGCAGAAATAATAGTAACTGCCCAGATCACGACATTCCGTTAATTCTTGTTTAGCCACCTGCTGACCTACTTTTTTCAAAGTTTCCATAGCGCGTGAAGTACACTTTCATGTTTTTTCAATGGAAAGTTTCTTTGCCGTCCTCTCTCTCTCTCTCTCTCTCTCTCTCTCTCTCTCTCTTCTCTCTCTCACCCTCTTTCTCCTTCACTCTCGCTCTCTTTTCCATCACCTCTGTATTACTTTATTTTCAAACTGTTCATCTATGAATATTTTGTGTGGTTTTTTAACAAAAATAAACTTTTTGAGCATCATTCAATACTATGTTAAATTTATGCCCAAAATCAAGGACAGGACCAGAAGTTTAATCCCCAAATTCTAAAACAGCGTCTTCTATGGGCCATTCCCAGGCCATATGACGACAGCCGTCCTTCCGCCTGCGCAGCCCGACCGTTCCCCTCCCGCAGTTTTGCGCGATGAAAAACAGCACCACGTGCTTACGACAGTACCGTTGAACAGGGCCCTCAAACTAAAAAATATATTAGCTTAAAATGGCTTTCCTTAAACTTGATTTTCTATAAATACCACAGGCCTTCAGAATCTAGCGTACCGAACTGTCGCGGTGGATCTCCACATCATCGTTGGGTTGGGTGTTCTTCCGCAGCAGCTCGATCAGGCAGTCTGGAAGCCGGAATTCACACTGAAAATGGATGCATCTTGTGGAGGTTCTTTTTGCAGATCCCAGTAGGGCTACTTTGAAAACGCCGAAAATCGTCATGTCCAAATTTCATGTGGCCGAAAACCACATAACAAGTTAATTTAATTTTTAATTAACTTCAATTAAATTAAAATGGGTGGTTTTCGGCCTTTTTTAAAATTGTAAATTTAGATTTAAAATTCGCAAGTTCCTGATGACGAAATCTCAGGATTTTGAAACATCACAAACAGGATCAAATTACCCAAAAAAACAACCTACCAATACGAAAGAGTATACAGGGTGAGGCATATATATCGAAGCACCCCTAGGCCATGAAATTTTGCATGCAACCAAAAAACTAAACAGTTTTTCGGGATTGTGCATATTTACCATAATACATTAAGTCGTTCCTAATGCAGGGGACGAAGAAAAAAGATCGCCGACTGCCCTGTTTTTTAGTTATCATTTCGAAAAGTTTAGGCGTTTTGTCGAAAAAGTGGTTTGTTGGCACGCTGCTCCTAGAGATCGGCCTACAGGTAGCACCATCTCGGGATTCTCGCTTCAAGCTTGATTAAGATCTATCTATTTATTGCAGAAGTCGGATAGCCAAAAACAATCGAAACAATTTTGTTATAGTCAAAAATCATGCCCTTACCCAGCTCAGGCCCTCTATAGTACCTGACTTAAAAATGTCTTGCAAAAATCAACGCTTGAAGGAAACTTTGTTTCATCAATTTTTCACATTCTAGGCCTTGACAAAATCAGGTGCCGTTGACCAAATCAGCGAACTATACACCTAAAAGTCGCGAACTACAATTTTATGATTTTTACTATGCATTTTGAGGACAGCTGAGTCATAATATGAAATTTCCGGCTGATATAGGTAAATAAACCACAACTGCGACCGTTATTTCTTGGTCCCACATTGCACCAACGTTTTTGATACGCATAGGTGCTCGAATCAGAGTTTTCGAGGCCTGCCGAAATCGAGCTCCAAGGGGGTGCCAAGCCCACCCCCCACAAGCCTCAAGTTTT